TCTCTGGGGGTAGTTCATTCCATAGGGTCGGAACGGCTACAGAGAAGGCCCTCCCCCGGGGAGCCGCCAGCTGACATTATCTGGCTGACGGCACCTGGAGAAGGCCCACCCTGTGCGATCTTATTGGCCGTTGAGAGGTATGCGGCAGTAGGCGGTCTCGCAGGTATCCAGGTCCTAGGCCATGTAGGGCTTTAAAGGTAATAACCAGCACCTTGAATCGCGTTCGGAGACCGATAGGAAGCCAGTGCAGCTCGCGGAGGATAGGTGTAACGTGGGTGTATCTTGGGACACCCAGTATCGCTCGCGCGTTCTGGACCAGTTGTAGTCTCCGAACACTTTTCAGGGAATATGAGGTAGAAGGAGTCTGTCCGCCATTTGTCACAATTTTTTTTCCTGCTTTTTTCCAGAACTGGTCATCCCAGATACCGCAAACGTCTTTTATGCCATGAACAGCCAGGTGAACTTTGACTTTGTCCTGCGGAAGAAAAACTCCCTCGACGGGCAAGTGAAGCTGAGGAACCGCTCCAGTTTGACCCTTCCCAGGACCAACAGGAGGGGCTGCTGGAACAACAGAAACAGCAAAATTACCCTTTGAGGGTGGATCAGCCCAACACCCAAGAGGTGGGCTTGAAGGACCATTGCAGAGAACTACTTACGTGAAGATGAATGTGCCAGTATTCAGCTTTAGAGAGTACAAAGCTAACACTTGCTATAAATAAGCACATAATTAATTAGTTAATTACGGAGAGCAGACGAAAAAGGTCCCGAATGGATTTGCACCCCGTAGGCACTATGAATTCAAAGCCACTTTCTATCAGGAAGACAAAGACTATGCAGATGATGCTCCAGCCGTACCACAAGACTCTCCGCCTCTTCTCAGTTTTGACAGTATTAATTTGGAGTGTTTTAGATGCGTTTTTTTTATAAACGGAAGAAAGCATTTTAATCCCTTGTGTTCTTACCAGAAGTGGAAGAGCATCAGACTAACCACTGGCTGATGACAGTCCTGGGAGATGATTGGGGCCTCTTTGGTAGAGGCAGCCCAGCTTCTGAAACACGTGGAATTAGCCTTATTTAGAATTCTGCCCCTGCCAATCCTTTTAGGAGTGCTGGAAGAATCCATTTCCTGCTCCAGGAGTTCAGCTGTTCACCGATGACTATATGAATGCACACTTCAGAAGTTGCTCTTAATGCCACTATGTTCTTTTCCTTATGCTTTGCTATTTTTTTTTTATAAAACAAAATTGGGTGAGTGTACGTCTGCAGGTATGTGTGTGTCTGTGTGCGTGTGTATATATATAAATATATAAATATATAAAAAGTCAAAATATATTTCCTTGGAGTGTGCAGTTTTACTCCCATTTCAGCCGTGGAGCTGTTTTCCTGTATTCAGCCATATTGGCATCCTAGTAAACTATAACAGTTATGTTTTATAAAAAAAAAATAGCAAAGCATAAGGAAAAGAACATAGTGGCATTAAGAGCAACTTCTGAAGTGTGCATTCATATAGTCATCGGTGAACAGCTGAACTCCTGGAGCAGGAAATGG